TCGATTGTCAGTAAGTCTTTGATGGGTTTGAGTCAGGGCTGGTGATTGATTCCAAGGTTGTTGTGTAAAAAAAGATGTTTGGAAAACATAGCCACCTGCTTCCTGTCTTCCCTGCTGGCATTTCATGGTGGTGACCTTACAGCAGTCTCTGTCATCCCCACTGCTTGTCACTGGCCTTTGTCCTCCCCACTGCTTGTCACTGGACTGGAGATCCAGTCTTTGTCGTTTAAAACATGCATGTGCCGGTTGCCACAAGATGGCATCAGACCATTTCAAGTCAAGCTAGGTAGGAGGAACTTCAGTTCAGTGCACCTTTAATTTTAAAAAAAGTTAAAGCATGTGCCTTTTGTGTCATGGTATTTACTGATTGCAAATAAGCCCCCATGTAAGAAAAAAAAAATGATTCTTGAACTAAAGCTTGAGGCTTATGTCTAATTCCCAGAGTAGTTGTGTAGGACATGACTCCAGTCCTGCAAGTGCTTATTTTCCAGAATGAATAGTTTGTAGTCTCTTGTGTTTGCCTAGCAAGATTGCCATGTTACTTTTTTTGTTTAGAAGTGTTACATCATGGGTTTTCCTTAGGTAGTTCACATTGTCCCCTGCACGACGAGTTTATCCATTTATTGTCCCTTCATCTGTTTTATTTTCTCTTGAACAGACCTCCACATTGTTTGTCTCTTTAACCAGCACTTAAACTCCAATAGAGGCTACAGTTTTATTATTGTGTCTTGAGTGCCTGGCATGGCAGGTGCCCCTAAAAATGTTGAACTGAGAGAAACTGGAGAATTTTCAATATTACATAAATTAATACCCAGTGGGGTTTTTAAAGAAATTTGTTAATTTTTAATTTAAAAGGCAGAGTTATAGATAGAAGTAAAAAGAGAGAGAGAGAGAGAGAGAGAGAATGAGAGAGATCGAGAGAGATCATCTTCCATCTGTTGATTCACTATCCAGATGTTTGTAATGCCTGAAGGCAGTCTGGTCTGAAGACATGAGCCAGGAGCTTCTTCCAGGTCTCCTACAGGGGCAGGGGCCCAAAGAGTTGGGCTGTTCTCTGCTGCTTTCCCAGGCCATAGGCAGGGAGCTAGATGGGAAGTGGAACTGATGGGACTAGAACCAGCACTCATGGGATGCTGGCACCACAAGCAGAAACTTAGCCACTATGCCACCATGGTGCTGTTTTAATAAGCAAATGTTGTATCTTACATAAAATACAAAATATTTGAGTTTATAAGCTTTAGGAATTTCTCTGATGACTCAGAGAGGTAATCAGGCTTTGCAAATGTTTATGGCTGTGCTTCTCTAGTAATTACATTTCCATGGAGTCTCCTTCATAATCGGAGGTGTTCAGTAATCTCCCTACAGCTTACAATCATATGTAATGTACGATCAGGGTTTGTTCATGCATATATGCTGAACAAACTAGAACTCTAGTAAAGGAAATAGTCTAATGTAACTTTAATGTGTAAGTTACACCTCACATACACACGAAACACACACACTATTCAGAAAAGTTGTATTGTTTCAGTTCTCCTTCCTTCTTTCAACTGTTTGAGTGAAGACCATCCTTTGCTGAAATATAGAATATCTAAACCTGACCCCCTGATGTGGACGGGTGCCATGAGGCTTTAGAAAGTTCATGAAAAGTCTGTTTTACCTTTTCATTTCATTTCCCACCAGCCCCCTTATACCTTGGAAGGACTAAACTTGGAGAAATCAGTGGTAATCTTGACCACTTCTAAGTCCTAAGATGAATGAGTAAATATATTTAATTTTTTAAAAAAATATTTTCCTGAAGATTTATTTATTTTTATTGTAAAGTCAGATTTACAGAGAGAAGGCAAGACAGAGAGAAAGAGCTTTGGTCCGCTGGTTCATTCCCCAAGTGGCTGCAATGGCTGCAACTGAGCTGATCTGAAACCAGGAGCCAAGAGCTTCTTTCAGGTCTCCTGTGGGGGTGCAGCATCCCAAGGCTTTGGACCATCCTCTACTGTTTTCCCAGGCCACAAGCAGGGAGCTGGATGAGAAGTGGGACAGCTGGAACATGAACTGGCCACTGGCAAGGCAAGGATTTAGCCAGTAGGCTACCACGCTAGGCTATTTCCTGAAGTTTTAAGTGAACAATACTGGTACATGTTTATGGGGCACAGTGTAACATTGTATGTGTGTAGTTTATGTACTATGTAAATATAATACATGCATTACACATACACACATTAGCCTTATATTGCGGACAAACAGTCTACTCTTCCTCCCACTCTGACGTTATTTTCTTTCTTTTCAAGACTTATTTATTATTTTTTATTGGAAAGGCGGATATACAGAGAGGAGAGACAGGAAGATCTTCCATCCGATGATTCACTCCCCAAGTGAGCGCAACAGCTGATACTATGCCGATCCGAAGCCAGGAGCCTCTTCCGGGTCTCCCACGCGGGTGCAGGGTCCCAAAGCTTTGGGCCGTCCTCAACTGCTTTCCCAGGCCACAGGCAGGGAGCTGGATGGGAAGTAGAGCTGCCGGGATTAGAACCAGCGCCCATATGGGATCCCGGGCGTGCAAGGCGAGGACCTTAACCACTGCGCCACCGCACCGGGCCCGACGTTATTTTCTAATTTGAGCCTTGGAGCTCCTAATCCATACCTTGTTAAAAGCTATTTTTTTTATTAGTTGTCAGGAGTGTGCCTGCCACAAAGGATGAGTGATGGAGTTTATCGGTGTGGGACACGATGAGCTGCTCAGGCAGTTGACAGCTGAGCCTGCTACTCTCTTCCCGCATTGGTTGCTGAAAAGGTTCATTTTTAGATTTGTGCCTGAGGTCATTGATGTTTATATCCACATCTTTTATTCATTCAGCAAGTCATTGCGTGCCACACACTGGACACCGATACAGAGATACAGGAGCTGCTGAACCGGACAACGTCCACACCCTCAGAAGGCTCCCGTTCTTCAGTGTCTTTCTAGGCCACGCATATGAAGGCTCGTCAAAAGTTTATGGAAAACAAATTATGCATGAGTTTCACAATCTTTTAGCACAAAGATGAACATTAAAAACATTAATTTGAAAGGTAGTGACAGAGAGAGAGAAAGAGAGAGAGAGAAAGGCATCAGTCTTTCCAATCCCTGGTTCACTCTCCAGATGCTTGCCAGAGCTGGGCTTAGGCCCGGAGCCGGAATCTCCATCTGAGTCTCCTATTGACAAGGCCGGCCCTAAGTGCTTGGGCCAGCAAATCCTGCTTGCAAGTGCGTTAGCAGGAAGTGTGTCAGAGCACACAATACCGGGACTTGCACCAGGCGCTCCCATGTGTCATGCGGATGTTCAAAGCAGTGACTTAACCTGCTGGACCACACAGCCCACTCCACGACTTACTCCTTGATCCCATTTTCTGTGACATTTTCAGGTACTCTCATTTCTTTAGCAATGGGTAAAACTCATGGGCCCTTCTCATGAAATCCGGCCAGTCATACCTGCGCACTGCAGATGCATGCTGTTAGTGCGAGGTAGGGAGTCTCACTTACAGATTTCTGTGTGGTATTCTCAGATTCTGGGAGAATTAAAGCCAAGGTTACCAAGTGAAGGGTCCTGCCCTTCCTCAAACCTACCTGCTGCTCTTGGATTCTTCCCAGTGCCTTATGATGCCCTGGATATGACAAATTTTGGCTGATTTTTTTTTAAAGATTTATTTATTTTTATTGGGAAGTCAGATTTACAGAGAGGAGAAGAGACAGAGGAAGATCTTTGATTTGCCGGTTCACTCCCCACGTGGCTGCAGTGGCCGGAGCTGAGCCGACCTGGAGCCAGGTGCCCGCTTAGGGTCTCCCGTGCAGGTGGTAGGCAGAACTGTGGGCCGTCCTTGACTGTTTTCTGAGGCCACAGGCAGGGAGCTGGATGGGAAGTAAGGTAGCCAGGGTTTGAACTGGTGCCTATATGGGATTCTGGTGCATGCTCGGTGAGGACTTTAGCCACTGGGCTATCAGGCTGGATATTTTTTTTAAAGATTTGGTTTCTTTTGTTTGAAAGGCAAAGTTAGAAAGAGAGAGAGAAAGAGGGAGAGAGAAAGGATAGACCTCTCCCATCTACTGGTTTTTTCTCTAGATGTGCACAAGTGCCTTTGCTGGGCCAGGCCAGAGCCAGGAGCTTCATCCTCTGCCCCACATGAGAATAGGGGCCCAGGGGCTTAAGCTGTCTTCCATGTCTTTCCCTTGTGCTGGAGACACACATGGCAGCTTAATATGATGTGCCACAACACAGGCTCCTGTGATCTGAGGATGGAGAAGTAAAGCTCGGGGCAAAGAGCCGAGGCAGGGGGTTCAACAGGCCCATGTCAGTGGCCGCCTCGTCCCGTTGTCTCCTTCAGGCGCTTTGCACATTGAAGTGACAGTGGAAAGGCTTGGGTTAGTGTAGCTCAGATGCAATTTGCTGGTAGTTTAGGTGGGCAGGCTGTGGAAGCAGACAGAAAGTGTCTGTGGGTCTCCGAGTGGTAAAGGGAATCTCTTTAGCAAAACAAGTGGTTTGATTTCCTGGGTCCACCAGAAGACAACTGTGCAGTCCTAGGTAGTCTAATCTTGATTCAGTTTCCTCGTGTGGAAACGGGCTAATGGTATCACCTAAAGTAGTTGTCCCTGGGAGGTTATTGGATTTATATAAGATCCTGCAAATTCAGTGTATAATACAATATACAAAGAACATGATTGGCTCAACAGTAGTAGTGTTATTATTTGTTAATTAGCTTAACCATATGCCCACTCTCTACCCAAGGCTAGTTTGGATCCAAAGCTCATTTCTCCTGGATTTTGTACAAGTTGTGATTATTGATAATATACTACTGACCTGGACCCAAGCAGTAAAATTAAGCTCCTTGATTGAAAACTTGCCTTTAGTTACGGGTTGCTCGGAAGATGTTTACTGATCTTACAAACAGCTGTGGTTGCTACTAAAGAATTCACTCTGCTAGGAGATGCATGCTAATTGTCCCTTATTGGTTTTTTTTTTTTTTTCATGTAGTACCCCAACCCTCTGGATAAAAATGTCATCTCTGTAAAAATCGTGGAGGAAACAAGAGGTATGTTCTCTGAATTGTATAAGCATATGTCTGTGTGTATATGTTTACCTTGTTATGTTTTAAACAGTGTACTTTCTAAACAATAACTGGTGATAGTAAGCCATGAGTAATTGTAACACGTCGTACTTTAGTCTGGGTTTGTTTACTTATTTACTCTTCAGAACAGTGAATGGGGTAGGAGATTTGTCCAGAAAGTGATTGAACTGTAGAATGAAGAATACCTGGCAGCATGATTCATTGTTGCCTAGGGCAGGGTGGACATACCACAGCCAGTGCTGCCTGGTTTCCTGAAAAAAGGTTGAACTTAAAGATTGAACTATGCAGGAGGCCATGAAAATAGACACCGTAAATGCACAGACTCTCAGAGCTGCTCAGGCAGGTGCAGGTCTCACATGTTCTTCAGCCATCTTGGGAAGTGCGAGACATCGCTTGGTAAACATAAAACTTTTGGGAGACTATTTCTGTACTTTTACAACAGTATTAATATATTGAAAAAAAAATCTCTCATGAACTGACACTATTGTGGAAGAAAATCTCAGAGAAATCTGATTTTAAGGCCTGGTATTGTTATTATCTTCCTCACAACCGCAAGGCTCCATTTATTCATCTGTCAAACAGGAACATAAGCTTGCTTTTTTTTAGGTTGTTGTGAAGATCAAATTTGAGATCAGTGTGCATATTGTAAAATAATATATGAATGTTAATTATAATTTCCGTCATTGTTGGGTTCATCTTTGCTTCCAGCAATTACTGATTCACTCTAAGTATGTGGACAGCCAACAGTGGATGACAGGGACAAAGGCTGTGTTGGTGTGCACAGATCAGTCAGTTTTGTGCCTTATCGGTAGCTTTTTTTTTTTTTTTTTTTTTTTTTTTTTTAAAGATTTATTTTTATTATTATTTATTTTTATTGGAAAGGCGGATATACAGAGAGGAGAGACAGAGAGGAAGGTCTTCCGTCCGATGATTCACTCCCCAAGTGAGCGCAACGGCTGATACTATGCCGATCCGAAGCCAGGAGCCTCTTCCGGGTCTCCCACACGGGTGCAGGGTCCCAAAGCTTTGGGCCGTCTTCGACTGCTTTCCCGGGCCACAGGCAGGGAGCTGGAAGGGAAGCGGGGCTGCCGGGATAGAACTGGCGCCCATATGGGATCCCGGGCGTGCAAGGCGAGGACCTTAACCACTGCGCCACCGTGCCGGGCCCTATCGGTAGCTTTTTAGCAGCCAACTTCCTTGTCCCATGGATTGAGGCTACTATAACCCAGAGGTTTGAGAAACCTTTTAGCACCATATCTGAGTCACAGTAATTTATGGAGCTAGTGACTGCATTTTAACTTTTTCACTGCCCCGTCTGCTTTTTTCTTTCTGAATTCATGTTTATTGTACTTTTTAAAGATTTAATTTTACTAAAAAGGCAGATATACAAAGAGGAGGAAAGACAGAGAGGAATATCTACCATCTGATGATTCGCTCCCCAAGTGACCACCAAGCCTGGAGATGAGGTGATCTGAAGCTAGGAGCCCGGAGCCTCTTTCAGGTCTCCCACATGGGTGCAGGGTCCCAAAGCTTTGGGCTGTCCTTGACTACTTTCCCATGCCACAAGCAGGGAGCTGGGTGGGAAGCGGGGCTGCTGGGATTAGAACTGGCACCCATGTGGGATTCCAGCACATGCAAGGCAAGAACTTTAGCTGCTGGGCTACCACGCTGGGCCCTGTTTATTGGTTTATATATATATCACTGGCTCAAGATGTCACTGCAAACAGGATGGTTCTGGTCATAGAGTGTCTACTCCTTTATGAGAGATGACTGTGGGTCATGCAGGTAATTAGTCTTAAGTTTAGATTTTGTAGCAGAGCCCTGTGAAGTTTGGTACAGAAGGAACGTTCTGTTTTCTGCAGTTGATGCTGTTTGGGCGTCAACATTGCTGGGCCAGGGCAGTGAACACGTAGTGATTTATATCTTTCAGAGTGTATGCTGTGAATTGCTATTTCACCCTTGGTCCTTAGTCCCGTCAGGCAGTGTCCATGATGTGGCCTAGAAAAGCCATCAAGGAAACTGGGTTTCGAGTTCAACATTTTCTCTAAGACTTCTGTCTATGGTAAATGGAGATTGCCTTCAGGAGGTTTACTAACATGAAGAAAAGGGTACATTAATTCATTAAAGAGTTTTGAGTGTAAAAAAATTCTTTTTTTCTAGATGAGTCAACAGGGGTTATCTATCGAAAGAGGATTGCAGTCTGTAAGAATGTGGTTCCAGAAATTTTAAGGAAGGTAAATGCATTTCAAAATTTAATCAGAGTTAGTGTAACTGAGTAATTAATTGAGTTTTATTTATTTGTGTAAGTGTAAGTGTGAGACAGAAACAAGGAGAAATACACACACACATGCAGAGAAAGTGAGAGCACGAGTGAGCAAGCATGCAGACAAGCAAGCCGCCATCTGCCGCTTCACTCCCCAAGTGATGGCAGTCTCCATGGCTGGCCTGCAGCCAGAGCCACGAGCTGCCAGTGCAATCTAGGCCCCCTGCATGGGTGGCAAGGAATTCATCCCATGAGCCATCACTATTGACTCTCAGGATACAAATGAGTGGGAAACTAAGTCCTTAGCTGGAGCTGGCTGTCAAACCCAGGTACTCGGATGCAGAAAGCCGGCATCTCAACTCCCAGGCTAAATGCTTGCGCTTTGAGTGGCTTTTAGTGGCTATAGAAAGAGGGCATTTTCTGGTGAGGAGGAGCAATAGTGTTTTCCTGCTTGTGTTAACTTATAACCCTTCAGAGGAGGAAAGCTCTTTTGCCTTCAGCCTCAGTTTTGGCACATGCTACTGGGGACACTTTGTCTCCATTTCTACCCCTCCCCCCAACAGGGGTTCTTAATAGAAATATTCTACAGTTGCTTTAAAGATATTTTGGTATTTTTCATGTAATGTCTTTTCTAATCTGTAGATGACTGGAAATGATTCTTACATAAGAATGATTACATTGCTTAGAAAGAGCATAGTGTAAATAATCTGATCCTAAGTAAAGAAGAAACAAATGTAGTTTCGGATTCGCTGGTAGACGTAACCGCTCTTTCAGGAGTATTTGTTCTCAGTGCTCCCTCTAAGTCTTATTGTGTTTAGTGCTGTAAAATAATATCCTTGATGATGAGATAAATTTTCATGATAGCAAATTGTTTTCTCTTTTTGAAACCCTGAAGCACTCATGATTTCTTATTGGAAAAAAGGTGAGTGGATATTTTTAATCACATTGTTTGAGCCATAGAAGATTTTTGATAGGCATCTTAGAATTATTAGAAAGAGGAGAGCAACTTGGTAGGCACTTTTTAAAATGTCTCAGGTGGGTGCTTCTACTCGGAAGAGATTCTGTGTGTGATGGAGAACGTGGCTTGATTCCTGCTGATTAGCTTGCTGATTAAATCGCAGTGCTGTCATAGAAAAAAAAAACTGGAAATTTCTATCACTTCCTCATTGTGAATTAAAAGAGTCTGTCTCATTCTTCAGTGAAAAGAAAGCTAATATGACAGTGCGAATGAACTTTATGGTCTTTTCCAGATGGTAGAATGTATTACACTGTAGCAGCAGATGATTGCTGGCTTTTTCCGTGGAGTGTGCACCCTGCCTTTGCCCTATATACACACTTTGAATCTATTATTTAAAAAGGCATTCAACTTTGTCTTGTATCTCAATTCTTAAATAATTTAAGGATACTTCTGACTCATACAGTTTTGCCTTTGTAGTTTTCCATGTTTTTTCCAGCAAGGAAAGTGTATGTTTTAAGCTTTTAGATGACGTTTAAATTGAAGAAAATATTTTACCTAATATCCTCCTGCATGTGAGCCTGTAAGTGGGCCTAATTAGAATCCATCAATTTAAGGTGGCCATAACCAGCCCTTGAGGAGACAGGAAGCAGGCTGATAATTTGCTTAGCGTTTAACAGTTTAGCAGTATCTGGCCAGGGACTGACTGCACAGCCTACATAAATCCTCCGTCATTTGCATGTCCTCACTGTCACTTAGTAAGGTCACAGACTTGCAGCCATTGGTGAACGTTCATCCACATATCATGATTACTTGTCCTGTTAACTATCTGCTCTGCACATAGTCCTGATGTTGCCTGCTTTTTCCAAGTGAGAAAGGTCTCCTCCATTTGTTGGACAGGTGAGCATTTTAAAGGTACCCAGTATCCAGTTGGAAGAGGAATCCTGGCTCAATCCTCAGGAAAGAAACATGGCAATACAGAGTCACTGCCTTACATGGACACAGTATGCATCCTTGAAGGAAGAATCTGTCTTCCGGGAAAGTGTGGAAAATCCAAACTGGTAAGATCCTATGTGTATATGTCTGTGTGTGTGTGTTGGGTGCAGAAATGTGCCTATGTGCAGATATGTTAAAGAAAGTATGATTTTGTGCTTGGTAATCTCTGCTTACAGCTCAAACAAATTCCTTATTATTGCTCTTTAAACTCACAAGTGATTAATTCATGTATTTTTTTGGGGGGGCGGTGGATGACAAAGCTCAGCTCCTTTCTGACCAGCCCTCCCCATCCTGGTGACTGCTCTTGTCTGCAGTGGCAAGCGTTTGCAGTTTGTGAATATCCTTTGAGTCCTTTGACAGATAACTTTTAGACACTTACATGCATATGTGTGCATAGAGCTGTATGGTGTGACTTTGTATGTGTTTCTTCATACATGATTTCATGTTGTGTGTTTTTTTTTATTTACTAGAATATTTGAGTTTTACCGTCTTGATATATATAATATCCTTGCTAGTTCCTTTGAACTGTCGCACAGAATTCAGTCCTATGGCTACATTTTATTTAACTACTTTTATTTAATTTGATAACTCATTACTACAAATAATACTGCAGTATATGTAGATATTCCGTGTATATGAAACTAAAGTAGAATTTTAAGGTATCAAGTTTATTGAGGTTATTTGCAAATAATCCAATTTGTTCTTCCTAGCTTACATTTCTGTGAGTTTTGACAAACATATACAGCTGTTATGACAAGTGTAATTAAGCTGAAAATTTAAGGTTAATTCAGTAACTGGTTAGAAGAAACTTTATTATGATTTTGTGAATTGAGGTCAGACCGGGGTTTCTTAGCTTGAACACTAAAAGCCCAAGCAGCAGAAGCGGATTACTTCATTTACATAGGTTATACTTAGGATGCCTGTGTCTCACGTTGGAGCGTCTGATTCGAGTCTCCACTGCTTCTGCTCCGTTTCCTCGTCTCAAGTACACCCGGAGAGGCAGTGGCTGTGGCGCAGAACCTTGGCACCCCTGTAGAAGACCCAGATGGAGTTCCAGGCCTGACAAAGGTCCAAGCGCCAGATGCTGTGGGTGTCACTCTCTGTCTCTTGTCCATTTTTGAAATAAAGTGAAAAAGATGAATTTAAAAGGCTTTTGTGAGCTTCACAGGATCCTGTCAAGAAGGTGAAAAGAGTCTAGGGCACAGGAGGAAATATTGACGAACCATGTATCTGATCGGTGTCTGTGATCCGCAGTGCATAGAGAACTATTACTGCTCAGAAACTTAATTAAAAACTGGATGGCATATTTGAGTAGACTTTTCTCAAAATAAGATACATCAACAACCACTAAGTACGTGGAAAGCTGTTGTGCACCACTAGTCATTAGGGAAATGCAGGTCAAACCACTGTCAGATCCTTTTCCTAGCTGCAGAGTTGACTCCAATTGGAAAAAGGTTGAAAAAGACTTATACAAAAAAAAAAAAAAAAAAAAAAAAGTGAGGATCTGACATAATGGCTTAACTGGTTAATCCTCCGCCTGCAAATTCCAGCATCTCCTATGGGTGTTGGTTTGTGTCCCACTGCCCCACTTCCCTTCCAGCTCCCTGCTGGTGGCCTGGGAAGCAGTGGAGGATTGCCCAAGTCCTTGGGATCCTGTACCCACGTGGGAGACCTGGAAGAGGCTCTGGATCCTGGCCTCTGATTGGCTGAGCTACAGACACTTGGGGAGCAAATGAAAGGTCTTTTGTCTCTCTTCCTCTCTGTAAATCTTATCTGCTTTTCCAATAAAAATAAATAAATCTTTTTAAAAAATCCCTAGCAGCATTGTTCATAATAGACAGAATGCAGTAAAGAGATAAATGTCCATCCGCTGTTGAATCCATAATCACTATGCTGCATAAACACATCTGATACATTGTTTAGCTACGAAAAGGAATGGGGTGTGGATTCATGTCCTTGTGTGGACGAATCTTGGAAATATTTTGCCAAGTTGAAGAAGCCAGTTATAAAGTGGGCCCCTTTATTTGAAATCCAGCTTATAGGCTCCTTTATTTGAAATTTCAGAAAGAGCAAATCCATAGAGACATGGAGTAGATTAGTGGTTGTCGTGGTCCAGGGGGAGGCAGGAGTAGGGAAGAACTAGTAATGGGTATGGAATTTATTGAAGTCATAAAACTGTTTGGGAATTAAACTGTTATGAGTTGTACATCTACAAGGTAAATTTTATAGTAAATAAATTATATCAATTTAAAGAATTGGTTGAGATTTTTTAGTCTGATATAGTATTTTAGTTTGGACTGGAGAGTAATGTGGATGGGGCAGTTTAAAAACCAACTTCTCCCAGAGCTGCAAATTGGGAAATCCAAGATTTGGTCACTGGCCATCCAGTGCCTGGTGAGGGACTCTTTTTGGTTTGCAAATTTTTGTCTTCTTGCTGTATCCTCTCATGGTGGAGGGAGTGAGCTCTAGTCTGTCTTTTGGGACCTTAGTCCACTGAGGGTTGTACCCTCATGATCTCTTATTAATCTAACTACATCCCAGAGGCCCCATCTTCCAATACCACCCCAGTGTAGGTTAAGGTTTTTAACATATAAATGTTGGGGAGATACAGATATGCAGTCTTTACCATATAGATCCTGTCTGTTCCCCTCCGATGTGTTAACGTGCTAACGTACACTCGCGTCAGTAATACATGAGAATGTTATGAGGGTGTTCATTTCCCAGATGTGCTCAGCGCCTAGTATATTTAAAGTTTCTAAAATGTATCTTTATTTCATTTGAAAAATAGAGGGAGTCAAGGGAGAGGTCTTTCATCCCTGGTTCATGTCCTAAATGTTTGCAATAGCCAGGGGCAGTCTAGGCCAAAGCCAGGAGTTGGGAACTTGAGCCGAGTCTCCTACCCGGGTGGCAAGGACCCAGAACGGGAGCTGTTGTTTCCTGCCTGCTAGGGTAAGCATTAGCAGGCAGTGCCTGGGAAATGAACTAGGCACTTAGATATGGGATGGAAGACCTCCCACGTGACTACGTAACTGCTCTGCCACAATACCTGCTCACCGTTGTCTATTAATGATTTTAAACTGCACCATCATAATAAGTGAAGAATGATTAATTTCTTTGAAAGAGGTTAAAAGCGAAGGCAAACTATGTCAAGCACTAAATGTTGGCAGTAATTATTGTTGTGAACTGTGATTTCCGAGGACAGTTTACTCTGTTTTTTGTTATTATTCCATATGGTTTTTTAAAATTATGCATCTATCATTTTAGGGACAACAGCAATGTGCTCAAGCCAAAATAACTGAAAACCAGAAACCCCAAGTCTACTTTTTAAAACCTGGCACTTGTCTAAAACGTTCCTGCTCCATGATGCGTAGGTCCTGTGGTGATAATTCTAGAGTCTCGGGCAGCTGCCTGAATGGGTGTGCGTGCTGCGTCTCACTGGCATCAGAGGTGGGTTTGCTCTGCACCACGCCTCTCTCTTTTTTTTTTTTTTCAGTTTTCCTTATGATACCATTTTTTTAAAAAAAACAGGCCAGAGATATTTGGGATAAAGCATAAAAGACGATTCAATTAAAGGCTGGGGTCTGAGACTAGAGCTGTTTTCTCTATACAGAGAAATAGGGAAAGGATGAAATTGTCATGACTTTCTGTATGAAAAGCCTCTCGTTTAGTTCATTTTAACCCTAACTTTTGCATGTGTTTGGGCTATCAGTAAGCAGAACTGCACCTTCATCCCTCTTATGTAAAATGATAATTGCTGTGAGGATCCAGGGGAACCATACTTTTTCTTTCATTTCTTTCTGTTTTTCACATATTATTTTAAAGATAGTCATTCAGGAAACAATGATACATGCATCTTATGGAAAATATTAACCAATTTGGAGAAAGATTCTTATCACTCAGAGTTAGTGTCTGGTAATAATTTTCTTGGTGCATCGCTTAGACTGTTTCTGAATTTTTGCTGTTATAAATGGTTTTGTGATGAAATCTCTATTGCTACCTATTTTCTACTTACTCAGTTAATTTTTTAGTAGACTGAGCAAAGTGGGATTTCAGTTAGAAATTCTGTGCATTTTATATTTTAATGTATTTTGGTTAGATTTCTGTATGGAAAGATTTGGTGTTGGACGTTTAGCTAAATGGATAGGACCCTGGCTGTGCTGCCCGTGTTCCCTATCGGAGTGCCTGCGTTTGATACCCTGTTCTGGCTCCTGACTCTAGCTTTCTAGCTTTCAATGCACTGGGAGCCAGGGGTGGTGACTCATGTAATTGGGTTCCTGTGCCCACGGAGGGGACCTGGGTTGAGTTCCTGGCTCCCAGCTTCATCCTTGATGCAGTCCTGGCCATCAACAGGTATGTGGGATGTTAACCAATAGATTGGAACTCTCTGTCTGCCTTTCAAGTTAATTACTTAAAAGAAAGATGCTTTACCAATTACACTTTGTTTTCCTTTTTAAAATGTCCTAAGTAGGTAACTATTTCTTTATTTGCTTAAAAACTTGTTTCTTTATTTGAAAGGTAAGGTGAGAGAGAAGGAGAGGAAGGGAGGGGATGTCACAGGAGGAGAGGTACTTGCCATCTGCTGGTTCACTCCTCACAAGTTCCGCATAGCTAAGACTGGGCCAGGCCAAAACCAAGAGCCACAAACTCCATGAAAATCAGGACTGGGTGTTGAATGGGCTGGGCTAGGTTGTAGCCTACAGCAGTGTGAGCTGGAATTGGGGGTGGGGCGGGCCCAGCCATGCTACAACACAAGCTGGCTAATGTCAAGATGAGGCTGGCCATGCCAGACTGGGCCGCAGCACCTAATCAGCACATGGGAGACCTGGCTACGGGAGGTGAAGGTGGGTGGGGATGGTAGGGGGAGAGAGAGGGCGAACCCAGTAGGATGGTTGCATAGGGCTTCTGTGCTGGACCACCACTCCTACTGCAGACCGGACCAGGCAGGCCTACACTACCTGTTGGCCTCATGTGGAGTGGATCAGGGGAAAGCCAGGCTGGATTGACTGTTCCTACTAGTGCATGCATAAGACAGAATGAGTGTAGGTTGGTTGGCCTTTGCCACAGC